CAATATCTGCGGCCAATCAGATTCAATTTGTTTATCGTCTTTTTTAAAATAAAACTTGATTGATCGACCATGCTGTTTACAATAATCCTGAACATAATTATTAGCTTCTTGGGTCACTCCAATAGATTTACGAACATCAAGTAGTGTTAATTTTGGCAAAATTAATATCAATTGTTTGATGTCTTCATCTTTCAAAGAGAAATTTCGTAATGACAAATGCTTTAGATTTGGGTATTTTGAAAGGCACCTGGATAGATTGTTCCATTTGATTGGTAAATACTATTAGAATAGAGAAAAGAGTCAATTCGTTAAAACACTATGCGACGAAATAAAAATTACGATGAGAAAAAATTGTAAGTGAATCTCAAGCAAAATCATACTCACTAATTGTAAAACCAAATCTTGTAAGTTTGCATTTTTTACTGAATAAATGGCGAGAATGGAACCGCGCTCAATTTTTATATGAGCACTCTGTAATGCTGGGCACGAATCCATGAATATAAACGAGTTGCAAAATATATAAGGCGAACGACGAGAAGACCCAGACAGTTCAACTATCTTAAGATTTTTCATAACTGGACCATTAGAGTAATAATCTGTTTTGCCTAAACATGAAAAGGGTTGGTTAACAAACAATTATGTAAAGTCACTGAAATATTATATGAAATTGTAATATATCATGAAAATACCTTTAAAACTAGAAATTTTCAGCCTTTCAAGATTTGGAAAATAATGGGCCACTTTTTTGAATGAATCTAGCGTAGAGTCCCAAAGGTTCAATTGTTTCACAGTTTCATTGCTTACAATTCTGTTCGGATTAATAAATCCGAGAGATAGCATTTCGAGGTTATCTTTTTGAGGCATCAATTTGAAATCAAAATATTTTCCACAAATTATTCCTTTCAAAGATTTTGAGTCACTGAAAAACTTTTCGATTGGTGATTTTTCCTGAGCAGGGGATAATATCAAGTCGTCAAACTGTTATGATAAAATTTGAATAAAAACTGTAAAAACGATGAAAGCGGAATATAATCAAATAAAAAATATCAAATCTGTTAACAAACCCCATATGCAAGCAATCTGGCTATCGTGCTATAGTCCATCGTGTCAATAGTGTCAAACGGTGCGTCTGTGGATAGTTCAACGTTATTTTGCTTTCGTGTTTTTTCAAAAAATGGGTGTGACAAGTAGAAAATCTGTAATGATAAAATTGAATAAAAAATAAAAACAATGGAAGTGAAATGATTTAAATCTGTGAACAAACCCTTAAATTTGGGAACCATTCGCTCAAAAATTCTACATCAATCGGCTCATCTGATTGTTGAAAAACAGAATCAGGCGAATAATTTGGTCGGTCTGAAAGTAATCATTGATTTTATTAGAAAAAGGGTTAACAATGAGAATAAACATTAATCAAAATTTATAAATCTTACCAATAAAATATTTAACTTTTTTAGTCCGATCAGCAATCAAATTACTCCATTTTTCGCAAACTGTGATTAAAATTTGTCAAATTACTATTATATTAGCAAAACATGACTTCAAACAAGCAATAATTTTAGTATCCAAATAGCTTTAACAGTCAGACGATAAACATATTCATCACAAGACGAGGTTTCAATAAAACCGTTTCTTTTGCAGAACGTTTTACATAGCATTTATCGTATTGTGATTTCAATTAATATCTATAAATTATTCAAATATACTTATTGCAATATAGACAGAACAAGTTCTCAGACCAAGATAACTTTCACTTCTTAGGCGTTACACCCTTTAGTAATTAGATTTCCACATTTCTCACATTTCACAATTCAAATAAATAGCATAATTTACACTTACCTTTGAAGCAGTTAATTAAATCCTTTAAATCTTGAATGTAATCAAAGATTTCCACAAAACAATCTTCTGGAAGCTCATTTATTAACATTGTTAAATCAATTTTAAAACGGTAACTCTATGAGTAAATAACTTTAATCGGTAAGGCTTTACAAAGTGGCAAAACTGTCGAGTATCCGGTTAAAGCAACTTGTGTTTCTCAGTCTCCATCTAGTGATAATGGCTTTCAGAAAGTGGCAGCGCTTAAGATTTAGGTAATGAAAGGATTATATAAATTATAAAAACAATGTAAATTTTCAAAAAATCATAGATGGCGACTGTGAAAATTGCTTTAAATGGGTACAGGGTGCAACTAAAGTTCGTGTAGGAGGCAAAAAAATATTCCTCCTCCGTAGAAACCAATTTTCATTTGTTTTGATTTCTCGTTTGAAAAACTGATTTCTTCTCTTAAGCCCTCCTACCTACACGAACTTTAGTTACACC